TATATATATATATATATTTAGTTGTAGTTGGGCACAATACCTTTATTTTATTTATTTATTTTTACGTGGTGCTTAAGATTGAACCCAGCGCCTTGCATGTGGTAGGCAAGGCTCTACCCCTGAGCCACAACCACAACCCAGCCTCCTGGGATTTTGATAGGGAACTGTGCTAAGCTATATTCCCTAGGTATCTGATATTTTAAGTGGCTATTGTAAGTACCATTTTTAAAAATAAATTATCCTGGACTGGGGATGTGGCTCAAGCTGTAGCGCACTCGCCTGGCATGCATGTGGCCCGGGTTCGATCCTCAGCACCACATACAAACAAAGATGTTGTGTCCTCTGAAAACTAAAAAAATATATATATATATTTAAAAATTCTCTCTTTCTTTAAAAAAATATAAATAAATAAATAAATTATCCTTTTTAGGATAGTTTTAGATTTATAGAGCAATTGGAAAAATAGTTCAGAGAGTTCCCATATACCACATACCCATTTTCCCACATTATGGACATTAGGCCTACCCTAAATCCAAGATGATCTCATCTTGAGGTACTTAATTACATTTGCAAAGACCATAATTTCCAAATAAGACCACATTTCTAGGTAAGGGAGAGGTTAGGACTTTTAATACTAGTTCTTGATACTTCTCCTGCTTTTTTATTTTTTTGTACCAAGGATTGAACCCAGGGGCTCTTAACCACTGAGCTCTTTTTTACTTTTTAATTTTGAGACAGAGTTGCTTAAGGCCTCAAAAAATTGTCAAGGCTGGCTTTGAACTTGCAATCCTCCTGCCTCAGACTCCCAGACTGTTGGGATTACAGGCAAGCACCACCAGACTCAACTTCCTGCTTTTTTTTTAAATGACATGCTATCTCAGGTTCATCTGCTCATCTTACACATTTCTTGCTCCAGACATGGAATTAGTCATTTATCCATAAATCTCTCATTTCTTTTAGTGGAAAATGGTATTTAGAGATCCAGGCGGCTAAGAATGTATTTATTTTTATAAACAGTATAATCAATTTTCACTAAATTATTAAAAAAAAAAAAAGCTACACATACCATGAGTCATCAAAATGGTCTCTGATCTACTAATACTTCTAGAATTTTAAAGATTATTCTAGAAAAATAATGTGAAACATTTAAAATACTGTATTCTAAAAGATATTCTTAGGATTATTTATAATTTGATGTAGTAAAAACAATTATTAAGGATACTGTTAAATAATTCATGTTATAGCCCCTTAATGGAATGTTAAAAGATGCTAGTAACAAAGACATTTTAGTAACAAGACAAATGCTAATGCTATGACAGCAACAATAAAAGAATGTAAAAACTGAATTAAGATTATAATATTCAAAACTGTTTATAAAAATGATTGAAAGAAAATAACCCAAGTTGCTGATATGATTATTTGAGGGTATGGGACTATAAGTAATAATTTTTATACTATGTTTTTTCTTTTTTATTATGGTGATTTTATCTTTTTTTTTTTTTGAACTGAGGATTGAACCCAAAGGTGCTTTACCAGTGAGCACACCCTGAGCCCTGTCTTTTTGTGATGTCAATAGCCAGTGATGTATAGCCCTTTTTGTTTTTTATTTTGAAGCAGGATTTCACTAAGTTGCCAAGGCTAGTCTCAAACACTGATCCTCCTGCCTCAGCCTCCAGAGGAACTGGGATTATAGGCATGCACCATTGTACTCAGCTTGGTTATTTTATTTTAAAAATAATGTCATTCTGTATGTGTAGGCTTTCTCTTTTGCACATATGCAAAATACTTAAATAGTGTTTCTTCATCAAAACTCTGGGACCCCTCCCTTGGAGGTCCTGGTAGATAATGACATCCTGCTCTGGGGTCCTGGGCACTAAATGTATTGCTGACTCTGGCTTCAAGACCAAACTTTTGCAGGTCATTTCTATGCAACTCAATGTGACCATTCTCCAAGCAGAATATGTTACTGCCTCTGCCTCTATTGCTGGCTGGCTGACTTCAACTCTGCAGTCCTCATAGAAACATTTCCTATTTGGCCTTCTGTGCCCTGGATTACATAACATTTAGCTGTAATGTCTGAACTATCATCTATGACTATCTTCCCATGATCTAGACATGAGTAAATGATATACACAAGAATGGAAGAGCAGAACCTTTCCATATTATTTTCTTTCTTTTAGACTTAGGTGGCTCCAAGAATAAATGAAAAAAATAACTTCTAATCATCCCATGTCTAAGACTGAATGGAAATTTTCTCTGGGTCTTCTGCAAAATCAGTTGCTGAACTTCTGCCACTTGGGGGGTTCCAGTAGAGGCATCACCCCTTCCTGCTTCACAGTTCCTGAACGTCAGCATCCAAACAATGGTTTTTTGTTTTAGCAGATGCAGAATGCTATGTAAACTTCAGGAGACTCTCAAAAGCCCAAGGGAGTTCACTTAGTTTAATAAAGCTTCTGAGAATGGAATAACTGGTTGTGACTCATTGCCACCAAATGTGGGGCCCAGTACCATTAAGTTTGTTACTGTTTTTCTCATATGGGAGACAGTGCTACTGACCTACTTTTAAGAGTTCATGCTTGCTGAGTGGCTCAACTACTTAAGGGAGACCAGTCATACTTTCTTGCACAGTCTCCTTTTAACAAGGCTTTCTGTAAGATGGCTCTCTCAGCAGTCTCCTGGCTGGATAGTAAGTTTTCCCCTGTGGGAGGCCAACCGCTCTACCCAAGATTGAATGCGACCTTTTGGGGCTCATGCTCTTCATTCTCAGCTATGAGTCCAGGGAGTCCAGGAAAAGGAGGTGGTACATGGGCAGCAGGGATGGTTGGCTCACCTGCTGGGTGGTGGCCAAACAGTATTCTGCTGTGCTCAGTATGCTGCAGATGAGGCAGAGCTCCTCGAGAGTGAATTTGGCCACTTCTGAGCCCTCCTTTTCCTTGAGAAGACTGCTGATGGTCAACCCTCCACTGCTGGTTGTGGTTCTGAAGAAAGGGAACAGACACTTGTCAGGCTTGAACTTCTAATTTGTTTCTTGAATGGAAACTACACATTTTAAGACAAAGAAAAAACGGGAAAGAAAGGCTGGCTGTGGCCCAAACAAATCCACATCTAATGAGTCCTTTTCCTACTGACCTTACCTTGACTATCATCTGTTTAGACACTCTGCACCATTAGGAGTAGGAAGAGACAATGCCAAGAGTGAGTCAGTAATCAGTCGTATTAACTATGACAAGCTGACACTTGCTGGGCTGCCTATCACTTTAGCTTTGAATTTCCTAATTCATAGAACTCATTTGGAATCATTGATAGCACAAAAGTTGCTACCCAACTGTTTCAACTAAGAAAATTCTGCACTGGAATTTAATAAAAGTTATGTAGAGGGAGGAGTACAAAAGTAAATAAGACACTGTTCCTTCCTGAAGCCCTTACTCAAGAGATCAAAAGGCAGCTCCCATCCTCTGTGATTACAGTTTTTGAGGGGCAGTCCCTCGTCCATATAAGATCTAAGGTAACAATAATTACCCACTCTTATGTGGATCTTTCAGAATCCTCTGCTGGTTCTTTTTGCCCTGCCCCATTTCTGTGAACAGTGTGTCTTTATAAACTAACAAAATTCCAGCTGAGTGTACCATTTGTTTCTTGCTGGGACACTAACTAAGACATATGGGAACATGCTCACAGGATATTAAGTGAAAGCTGCAGGGTATAAGACTATCAGTGACAGAGTCCCAATTCTATTACACTAACAAACCAAAGCACACATCTCACACATATTTATATATATACACACACACACACACACACACACGAATAAAGAATGGAAAAAATATACAAAAAGTCAAACAGTGTTTCTTTGGGTGGTGAGATTATAGGTGATTTTCATTTTCTTTCTTGTGCTTTTCTGTGCTTTCTATGCTATAATGAACTTGTATTATCTTGATAATCAGGACAAAAGTTATTAAATTTTACAAATAATTTTTGTCATAGATAAAGAAAAAAACCTTCTCATTACTAAACTATACTCAACACTTAAAATATCCTGTGTAGCACAGGATTCTATTCTCTTTCTTCCAAATAATATAAAACTCTCATTTGTGACACATTTGAGTAACAATGATAGAAACTAATTCTCAAATTGTTGATTTACCCATGGGGATAGTTTATAAATACTAAGTTCAGAAGCATTATATTAGATCATGTTGCAGTAGAAATGAGTACATAATCAAAACATCTCTAAAATGGTAGTTCAATGATCCACATGTTTTAAGTAACAAACAATATAACAATCTTTTAAAGTCTCAGAATATAGTGGGGTCACTGTAATCAGGAGCTGTACTGTGTAATCCCCCTCCTCACAAATCCTACCACATCTTTAAACATCAGACATCCAGCATAGCAAGATATACAAACAAGAGAGATTTTGGGAACCTAATCAAGACAGGGAAAAACTGGATGCATGCTTCCATCTATCACTGTAGGACATAATCACACTGAATGAGGCTTGAAAATAATTACCTATGCTATTGAATAGTTATTTCCATCACCTCATTTTTTTTTTGGTGGGGGGAGTAGCTATTGTTGAATCTATGTAAGTTAAATACTTATACATAATAGGACTGACTCCCTAGAGTCCACCATGGTATGATGTAACCTACACTGGCAGCCAGGGGGGCATCTCTGCTAATGGTCTTGATCAGCTGTGGAATGTCATCAGAAAGGAAACAGCATCAGATCCTTGGGGACTCAGTAAGAGTGTTTTCCGCCTTACTGCTCTTGGCAGTTCAGTAAACAACTACAGAATGGATTTCCTTAAAGATTCCCATATTTAGGAATATTCCAAATCTCACTTTATTGTTCTGACTGTGCAGAGCGGGACTCACTTGGGCAGGTTGCCAGAGAGGATTTTCCAGGCGTATTCTCGGAGGTACTTCTGGAAAATGGTTGTCAGGGCAATCATTGGCTCCCCGGTACTGAGCTGTGAGCACTGTACCATGCACTTCTTGTAGTAGACGAAGAGGTCAGCACAGCTGGGGAGCACAGCGCCCCCCTCATCAGTGTTGGGCTTAGGTGGCCCCTGGGCTTTGAAATCGGCCACAAACCTATCAATCAGCTCTCCAAGGTTTCTAGGAAGAAGAAACTAAAATGTTATTTCACTTCCAAAAAGATATAGCAAATGTGCTTGTTTACAAAATGTTCATAAATTGCTACCTTAATTAATCATTACTGATGTTTCTGAAATTTAAAATTGGGTTCATTTTTATCAGTCATCATTTACCACCATCATTCATCCTATAATAGGAATCATGATTAAATTAAATAACCATTAAAATAACAGCAGCAAGAGAGTTTGGCATCTATGCACTGCTTCAAACTTCTCAAAGCATTTCATGATCGCTTTTGATCCCAAACTCAATGGCAGAACTGAGTTCATAAATCTACCATTTGAGTAAATATACTACTCCTACCACCATTTAGCACCATTCCCTTTTCCACAAATTAAAACCCCATGGAGTAATGATAGTGATCACTTTCTAAACACTTATGATGTGCCAGATGTCATGGCATAAGCATTTATAAGCATCATCTCACTGAACTTCATTTATTCTTCATAATAATCTTCTGAAGTAGGTAACAGTACTATCTTCCTTTTCAAAAAAGTTAGGTAAAGAGAAGTTAAGCACCTTGTTCAAGGTCATTTGCAAGAAAGTAGGGAAGCCATAGTTCAAAAGCAAGCAGTCTGCCTCCAAGTCTTATGTTTTTCAAGACTCTATTTCACAAAAAAGGTTATGATGTCAGCAGAGATTTAGACACCATCAACCTGAAATGGTCCACAGGATGGATGCCTAAAGAAAGATAAACTTAAAAATAAACAAACAAAAACTAATGCTTTCCTTCTTCATTCAGTTTGTAATTTCTTCTTAGAACTTCTAGAATCAAGGATATATGAAACTCTTGGGAGAAGAATGGGTAGAAGCAGCTTCAGGCCAGCCCCAGGCCACAGTGGTGATAGTGGTTGCAATCTGTCTCCCCATTCCCATTCAAGCATCCCTGAATTTGCTCCAATCACCCCAAGTCATCACTAGCTAGAATCCGGCAGGGCTATAACCACTGATCTCTATGAGGTTGTGCTATGTGGATAATGGGAGGCTGCCACTCTTTGACATGTGGCACCTTTTTAGGCAGCTGTCTAAAGCCAAAGGAATCCAGCTGTGTTTTTAAAATGTATTTATACAATAGGAAGAAAAAGACAAGAACCACACACCGCATCAATTAGCAGGAATAGGAAAAAATTGACATTTTACTCAAGTGATTTTGTTATTCAAAGTTTACTATATCCAGATGTGGCTACTCTGCCCTCAAAGAGACTCAAGCTTAGGCTAGGTCTTTGTAGTAACAGAAAGCAGAGAAGAACCTCATTAATTGACCTTGGAAAGTTCCATAATCACCACCCCACTCCACAACCTCTTCTTGCCCTACTTTTCCATCTATCCTCCCACCTCTCTTCCATGGTTGACCTCCACTCTGGCCAGTCACCCTGTAGGTCCTCTGCTTCACCTCCTTCCCTGTCAACTGGGCCTCTGCCTATTGCCTCCCTGGCCAAAGCACACTCCTTCCACTTCAGCTTGGCTCAGGCCTCACTGTGCAATTCCAAGTCACAGCAATCCTCTCTGAACTGGAATTCCTGTCATTTGCCATTAGATTTTTTTCCTTTCTTTTTCTTGTGATCCTGGGAATCAAACCCTGGACCTCACATATGCCAGTCAAATGTCCTACCACTGAGCCATATCCCATGCCCTCCACTTAACTTTTTAACACTTTTAGTTTCCAGTATAAGGATGCCAAATGGTCAAAAAACACTCCAAGTTTCTCCCACCCTGAGACCATGGTGGGCAATTCTAATTAACAATGTCGTATTTTTACTGATCAACAGTGTAATTCTAGAATCCTTGAGTCACCATTTTAGCCAGTCACTTCTCATAAGCTGAAGCTGGTACAAAAAGTGAAAGCTGCTTGCTTTAAAGTAGTAGAATCCTGCATTTCATGTCGGTTATCATAAGCTCCCTATTAGTTGGGAGGATGTATATGTAGTAGCTCAACTTCCACATTTTGTTCCAAAGAGATAGGGATGAAATGGTGGGAAGGTGGACATGGGATAGGGCTGCTAAAGTGGAAGAGAACCTGTAACAGAAAGCAAAAGATTCCACTTGAGTCTGCTTAGGAGAGATTCTAATCTCTCCCTCAATGGTACCAACCAAAACAGGGGCCAGAGCTCTTAAGTGTTTTTACTTTAATCACTCATCTGTTCCTCTAAAAGCTGGAGACTTAACTCACCTACTTCCTATTTCACAGCCAACCTGATGAATAAGATTATAATTAATTATGATCATATAGCATAAAGAAAATTTATACATGAAAACCTCTAAAGATTGTTGTTTTGCTGAAAGTCCACTGAGTAACTTTTGACATTGCTTTCTAGTATACATGATAAATAGTCAAGGAAATCTTCCCTGCTCTGCCTTCTTTCACTCTCTGCATTAGATGCTTTGATACCATGCAAGACATCAGAAACTGAAGAGACCTTTTTTCATAGAATAAGCAGTAAAAGCTACCCTAATGTGAATGGGTAAGGATCATTAGGGTTTTAAGTATTTTTTTTTTTAGTTGTAGATGGACATAATATCTTTATTTTGTTTATTTAGTTTTATGTGGTGCTTGGGACTGAACCCAGTGCCTCATACAGCTAGGCAAGCGCTCTACCCCTGAGCTACAATACAACCCCATCCCAGGATCATTAGTTTTGAGTATATGATCCTATCCAGCCAAATACTGATTGAACCCCTTACTATGAGGAATGCCTGAAGGACTGTCAGAAGATATAAATGAATTCAACTTTAAGAAGAAAGGTTATCATTTCTTCCAGGCATCAAACGTACCCTGAGTTTTGGCAAGATCTTCATGCAAGACTCATGGAGAAAAAGATGTCTGACACAATGTCTGACCTTCTGACTAGAATCACAAAGAGGTCTTTTTTATACCCTAAGACAACAACCCAGTAAGAGTTTACAAAGTGTCAAGTCCTGACCCAGGTGCTTATGGGTTAGGACAGTCCTTGCTATTAGACTTGAGAAATTAAGAACTTTGCACTTAGAATATTTAGTTTTCAAGACAGTAACAAAATGCTAATTTTGCAGTACAGACAGTATGACAATTTGATTTTGACAAAGAAAATAAGAGAAGGCTACAGAATAAGTTTTGTAGCAGATTCAGAGAGGGAAGTGAGCACAGCACATGTATATGAGGAAGAGGATGGGAAGGGGGAGAAATAGTTGGTTGAAGTCAAAGACAAAAATGAGAAAAGTCTGATCTTCAGTCAGACTTTTATACTCTTCTTCTGAATTACCACAGCAACCTACTCATACATTTTTACATTTTTCCCTTATTGCTGTGTACCACAATCTTTTTTTTTGGTCTGTCTCTTTTACTAGGCTACAAGCCTAGTCTGCACTGTGTTAAATGTTTTCTAAGTATAATTTTATTTAATCTTCCCAATAGCTTTGAGTAAAAGGCCTTATTATCCCTATTTTATACATGTATAAACTAAGCCTGAGAATAGAAAATAATTTGTCCAAGGTTACAGAATTTATTGAAGTTGGAATCTGAACTTGGGTATGTCTGACTCCAAGCTCTATCCACTCTGTGATGATATGATTTCTGAACTATAAAGTGCTAGCAGACATATGGTATTACTGCTGTTACTTACTTTCTCCTCAGCTTGAAGAAACATACCATGGATGTGTGGTTTCTTTTACTCTCATCCCTGCAGCTTCAGTTTGTGCCCAAGAACTGTGTAAGTATTTGAGGTCATGTGAGATTATATTGGGGGCTCTACTAACAAATGAAATGTCCTAGAAGTGAAGACTATTGCAGAGTGGCATCAGTACAGGGATAGATTAAAACAAGTGTGCTGGGGGGATCATCTCACTGCCAACTGAACTTAACCATGAATGACCAAGCCAATTTCTTCTGGTGGATCTGCAGTCAGCATTGTTAAAAATGATATTCTGATTAGGAAGTAAGGTGGGCAAAGATGCCAGTTAGAAAGGTGGCAAGAGAAGCAGGAAGTCAGCAAGGGTCAAGTAGCTTACAATCCCCAGAAAGTTACAGAACTGTTCATTCAAGGGTACTCACACTAATAGACACCCATTCCCCTTCTCTTTTTTGGGGGGCTAGGGATTTGGATATGGGGAGGCCAGGGAGGTTGGAGAACCAAGGTTTGGCTTGAGTAGGGCTGGGAGACAGTTTACATAAGGGAAAATGTAGTAAATAATTGAAGATGTTGGGAGCAAAGTTTCTCACTGTTGTCGAAGATAGTTACCATTGTGGGGTGGGGAGATTAAAGTAATTCCTGTGGTATTAAATTAGAATCAAAGGTATAGCATAAGCTTGTGATTTTTAATAGATAAGTAGATAAAAAAAGATGTGTATGTATATATAAATGCATGTAAGCAATGATACACACACACACAGCAATGAGCATACTGAATACTCAGAATGTGGTTCCTAAATATCACTTTCCACCAACACAACAAGAGATCACTGGATACACAGATAACCCAGAGTTGGCTATGAATGTATAAGATAAGCCTGGTATATATAATTGTGCCAGAATGAAGGAAAATACTCAAAAAACTGACAGGGATATGTTAAAAAAAATAAAAAGCCAGCTTGGAGAGGTTCCTTCTGGTCAAATTAGGGACAATTTAATCATTAAGTAATAATAGATCCTGAAAAAGAAAAGGGACATGAATGAAAAACTTGGTAAGATTCAAATAAGGTTTGGAGATTAGTAAGTGCTATTGTACCAACAATAACTTGTTAGTTTTAATCTCTGCTATTATTGTGCAAAATGTCAACATTAGGGGGTTGAGGGTAAAGAAAATATGGAAAATCTATACAATTTAAAAATTTTTTGTAGGTATAAATTTATTCCAATATAAAGAAAATGAGGAAAAAGACAATAAAGAATATATGTATTGAATAAAATAGGAATTCACGAGCCAGGCCAAAATAGATAAGTAAGGGAGAAGTAAACGCTTTTTCTTAAAGTAGAATGCCAACTAATGAGTGTAGAAGAAGTGATGGAAGTAAAACAGCAACATTTGGAAACCATCATAGTCATAAATGACTCAGGCAAGAATCGTCAATGGGTGGTTAAAAAAAAAAGTAAAGGTTTCTCTGAACACTTGTTAATTGCTTGTTAATAAATTCAGAAACCTGGCAGACAACATCAAAGCCAACTAATAAAAATGAACATCTTGGGCTGGGGTTGCAGCTCAGCAGTAGAGCGCTTGCCTAGCACCTGTGAGACACTAGGTTCGATCCTCAGCACCACACAAAAATAAATAAATAAAATAAAGGTATTGTGTCCACCTACAACTAAAAAAAATTTTTTTTAAATGAACATCTCAAGATCATTGAGAACAAACTGACAATGTATGCCTCCTGATCTGAATTACTAAGAACACAGCACCATTGCTGCATATATAAATCATGAGGAAAGATGAGAGAAACCCAAACTGAGGGACATTCCACAAAGTTACTGGCCTATACACTTCAAAAATTTCAAGGTCATGGAAGGTAAAGGACTGACTTCCATTTCTGGACTGAAGGAGAAAGAAGGAACAAATAAATGCAACCTGTGATCCTGGAATGGATCCTGAGTGGATTAAAAATAAACATGATTGGGACAACTGGTAAAGTGGAATGGAGTCTATGGGTTACATGATAATGCTGTATCCAAGTTAATTTCCTGATTTTGATGTTTATGCTGTAGTTATACAGATTGTATCCTTATGTTTAGAAAACATACATTGAAACATGAAGGAGGGGCTGGGGCTGTAGCTCAGTGGTAGAGCGCTTGTCTTGCAGGTGTGAGGCACTGGGTTTGATCCTCAGCACCACATAAAAATAAAGATATTTGTGTCCATCTACAACTAAAAAATATATTAAAATAAAACATGAAGAGTAATGGGACACACTGACTGCAACTAAAGAATTCAAATGGTTCAAAAAAATGTATGTGTATATATACACACGTGTGTATGAGAGAAAGCTGGGATGGGTAACTGATAACTATGGGGTCTGCACGAAGAACATAAAAGAGCCCTATGTACAATTTTTGTACCTCTTTGGTCAGTTGGAATTAATTAAAAATAAACAACAAACAATTAGTTACAGAGAAACTCTAGGCTTGACAAAGTCAGAAAGGGGAATGGGGAGCTCTATTTTAACAAGCTGTTACAGGAACTCAGGAAAATGGGCAAAAATGGCATCATCAATAACTTCTCTGACTAATAAATAAAACAGAATGGAGTGAAGACAGTGACTAGGTAGAACTCTCTTCTGCAGAATCAGTCAAGGGAAATCACTATATATTCCTGAGTAAAGATACTAACTTCTTCCTTGAACAAAAATAAAAATTGAGAAAACCACTTCAAGCATGTGAAGACAGCTTAGCCTAATCTGCGTAAGAGGTGGCCACTGGGACTCTTACTTCTTGCTTCCTCCCTGAGAACTGGTTCCTCAGGTCTCCTACTATTGCTTGGCTTTTGGTTGGGGCAGGTGCTGCCAGAATATTCCTTGGGTAGGTGGGAGGCTGGGGAGGCGAGAAGATGAACTCCATGCCAGGCCCAGAAGGAGACTGGCAACATTGATAATGTTGCCTACCTACACAGGAGTCCTAACCAGATCATGGGGAGGGGTTTGGGGGTGTGGTTCAGTGGTAGAACACTTCCCCAGCAATGAGCAAGGCCTTGGGTTAGATCCCCAGCATCACCAAAACCCACCCCGCCCCCCCAAAAAAAAACACAAAAAAACAGAGAGAGAGAAAGAAACCAATCAGGGATCAGGGGAGGACAAGGCAGGAATAGTTCCTAAGCACCATTTACTGTATGCAAGGACCACTATTGTTACCTTATTTCACTCTCACCACAAAACAATGACATAAGCATTATAAACTTCACTGTATAGAGAACAAAATATTGGTGGAAAGGCTAAGTAGCATGCTCACATCCCAGACTAGTAAGTTCAGAGTTCTGATTCAAATCCAGGTCTATCTGGCACTCAGGTCCTCACTCTTCCACTATACTGTGCTTTGTGTCCTCTGGGAGCTGGTAAACAATCTAAGACTTTTCTCCTTTGATTTTTATAGTAGAGTAGTAACTACACGAAATTAGTCCCACCTGAGTTCCTTTCCTAGCCTCAGGATTCTTTGACTGAGGTGGCAGAAAGGCTTCCTAAAAAACCCATGAAATTATACTCAAAATTAGTATGTGGGTATAATTGGACTCTTTTTTTCTTAAACAACAAAATCTATAGTTTTCAATGGATTCTCAAAAGGATCTATAATTCACAAAAGGTTAATAACCACTGTTTTTGGCATCAATTTATCTGACTCCTCTGACAGAAGAGAAAATGGAGTTCTTAAACTCTATCTTCTACTTAAACTTCTGCCGTTTAATTTGGAGTTACCATAACATAACCTACTCAGTCCTCCTTCCTGAAAAAAAAAAAGCTGGTCAATACCCTCTAAAAGAGTCTAGGCCATGAAAGATAAAGAAAAAACAAAAAACTATTCAAGATTAAGGGAGACTGAGGAGACCTGGTGGCTAAACACAAAATTATTAGAGGTCCTGGACCAGAAGAAGAACATTTGCAAGACAATATTACTTTTCTGATTTTGATAATTGTGATTATATACAATGTTAATATTATCTGGGGAAGGGTATATGAGAATTTTTTGTTCTATTTTTGTAATTTTTTTGATAGTCAAAATTACTTCAAATGAAAAGTAAAATTATACTTGAAAACATATACTTTAGAGATAAAGCTTTCTTACAATGTCCAAAGCCTGACATTGTAAAGTTTTGTGAGCTGCCAAATGTCAGAACTCAATGAGAGCTAAGTACCCACAAGGGGCTTCTGAGATTTATACAGGGCTGTATTATAGCAAAACTCAGACTTTTGGCCAGGTGTAGTGACACATACCTATAATCCCAGTGACTACAGTGATGCAGGAGGCTAGGACAGGAGGATCACAAGTTCAAGTCTAGCCTCAGCAACTCAGCAAGGCCCTCAACAACTTAGTGAGATCCTATCTTAAAATAAAAAATAAAAATAGGGGTTGGGTTGTGGATCAGTGGTAGAGCACTTGCCTAGCACAGATGAGGCATATTTTAAAAATACTAAATGAAGATACTGTGTCCATCTACAACTAAAAAAAAAAAAAAAATCAAATAAATAAATAAGTGGGGTTTAATTAAAAAAAATCCTCAGACTTCTGACATTATAGACAAAATAACTGATAATATTCAAAAGATATAAAAATATCTTTTTTTCTTTTTTTGTGGTATTGGAGATAGAATCCAGGGCCTCTTTCATGCTAAGGTCCTTAATGAGCTCCAGGGGGGGGTCACAGGTATATCAAGTCTCTCCTTCTGCTTCTGAAAGGAGTTGTGCCCTTGTAAGACTCAACATGACCAGAAGGTGTAGAAATGTTGACTGAAATCAGCAAAGTGCCTGTCACTTACTTATCCTGGGACTCAATATACACATACAGATGAGGCTCAAAACACTTGGAAACAATGCCATGAAATGGGTTGTCTGGGACTTTAGGCTTCTTTGGCTGGAAGAAAAAAGAGAGAAAAAGTAAAGAGAAATCCAAAATTTGAGTAATCTTTGCAAATTTTCAAGCAATTTCAAAGAAAACATCACTTCAAAGTATACTTTTAGATTATAGGTAAACAAATACTCAATGTAATGAAGTAGGAATATGTCTTACATTATGACTCATCCCAGTCTGTGAATGAGACACCAGCTTTGTTAGCATTATTTACTTGCTGTGTATGATGAAAGATTTACTGCTACTTAGATAACACATGCATTTTCATTTTGGCAGTTATTCATCATCTGATTGATATTTTAAATTTTAAATCCTGGCTAATCCTAGCACCACCTTGTATTTGTACGGTGTTGAAGTGCTTTCACATGATCTAATTCTAAGAGCCTCCATTTACTGATTGTTATGGGCCAAGTACTTCAATAACAAATAATGTCTCCTTTATTCCTCACAATAATCCATCAAGTAGGTCTCATTACTACTCTTCTACACCTCAAGAAATGGGGGCTCTGAGGTCCTGATAGTCTGCCCAAAAACACATAACAAAGCTTTTTATATCCTAAACTAGGACTCTTATCTCTCACATAAATATTTTCCTACAATAGCTCTTAAACTTGGGGGTTTTAATGACAAGTAAACATAAGAAATAAAAGGGTAGAGAGGGTTAGTACAGAGGGTTGTTAACTTTTTGTTTTGCTACTTTCTATCCTTATCACAAATTCATAAAAGAAAACATTTTATATGCCCAAATTTTAAAAGATTAATTAATTTATTTATTCTAATTAGGTACATAACAGCAAAATGCATTTTCATTCATTGTACACAATTGCAGCACAACTTTACATTTCTCTGGTTGTACATGATATAGTGTCACATCATATGTGCAGTCATACATGCACCTAGAGTAATGATGTCCATCTCATTCCACCATCTTTCCTGCCCCCCTGCACCTTCCCTCCCCTCCCTCCCCTTTGCTCAATCAAAGTTCCTCCATTTTTCCCATGCCTCCTCCATCCCCATTATGGATCAGCATCCACTTATCAGAGAGAATATTCAGCCTTTGGTTTTTGGGGATTGGCTTACTTAGCTTAGCATGATATTCTCCAATTCCATCCATTTACCTGCAAATTCTCTTTTAATGCTGAGTAATGTTCCATTATGTACGTATACCACAGTTTCTTTATCCATTCATCTACTGAAAGGCATCTAAGTCGATACATAGTTTACTATGGTGAACTGAGCTGCTATAAACATTGATGTGTCTATGTTACTATAGTATGCTGATTTTAAGACCTTTGGGTATAGATCAAGGAGTGGGGCGCCCAAATTTTTTAAGACTAAAATAGCAGCATAAAGGCAGTCCTTTCTGGGCTGGGGTTGTGTGTGGCTCAGTGGTAGAGCGCTTGCTTGCCTTAGCACAGGCGAGGCCCTGGGTTCGATCCTCAGCACCACATAAAAATAAATAAATAAAAGATATTTAAAAATAAAAAATAAGGCAGTTCTTTCCAAGAAAGGATGGTTGGTAACCTGGCTTGGGGGGTAGGGATAGGGGGTGGGGGTGGGAGGCAGACTATCTTGTCTATATTTTTTATCATAGAGCACTGAAAAATAGACCAGTAACTGGTCCTTATACTAATACTTGAAAATCACTGATAAATAAAACATTTGGCAGGCAAGCATTGTAAAAACTGTATTTGCTATAAAATTCCTTTCCAGGACTGAGGATGTAGCTCAGTTGGTAGAGTGCTTGCCTCACGTGCACCAGTTCCTGAGTTCAATTCCTAGCACCATCCCCCTACCAAAAAAAAAAAAATCCTTTCCAAACATCTAAAAAAAAAATAGTAAGGATCTTTTCACATATTACTTTCTATTCCTAAAAAAAGTCAATTCTGTCCATTGTCAAATGCCAACAAAAGGACTCGGAGCCAAAGACATCTTACTGTGGTTGATACTAGAGTAAAATTTGGTTTATAAGTTGGCAGCCATAACCTATTTGTTGAATGAATTACACATATTGTTTTTGTTAAGCCACTTTAGTGAGATATGAATAACATAAAAAGCTGTACAAATTTAATATATACATCCTCATGAGTTTGGGAATATGTATACATTTGTTTTAAAATACTTAATGTATATATCTTTTTTAAAAAAATATTTTTTAGTTGGAAATGAACATAATACCTTTATTTTACTCATTTATTTTTATGTGGTGCTGAGGATTGAACCCAGTGCCTCACACGTGCTAGGCAAGCGCTCTACCACTGAGCCACAACCCTAGCCCCAATGCATACGTCTTAACATTAGTTAAGTATACACTCATGAAACTGGCACCACCATCAGAGCCATACCCATTACCTCCCAAAGTTTTTTCCCACTCCTATTATTAAGTATACTTAAGATCTACCCTTTTAAACTGTCCCTATCTTTTCATAAGTACTGGAACAGCCACTAGAAGTCCCCAAAGACAGACAGAAATAATAGTTACCTTTTCTAGCCATTTCTCCTGTTGTTTATAAAGCAATGCAATGGTTAAAAACATCTGTAAAAACTGATGATAATTACCACAAATTAATGTCAACTTTAGACCCATTCAATCTTGTGCTCAGCTCTCTTCCTTTTTCACCTTCCAAGAGTTCCCTATCTTTAATTTTTTGGCATGATTTCTAGAAACTCTGGTCCTTCTTGACTACACTCTGGCTTGTTTGCTCTCATCATCTGGAAGCCACTGCCAAAGTCAGGCCTTAGGTGGAGATTGCAAGAGGGCCTCAGAGAATGCACAAGACTAGTTTATCCAGTTTGAATTTGCTATACCCAGAGATGCCCTGGAAACTTTTTGTGCTTCCATTAGTTTGAAATGCAAGACCCACAATGAAGAATGCAGGTAGTGAGGGAAGGCTGTCACCCATTTGTTCTACATTTTGAAAGTCAGTATCTCCTTCCCTCCATTCCTTTCTTTCTTTCTTTTTTTTTTTAGTATTTATTTTTTAGTTGTAGTTGGACACAATATCTTTATTTTATTTATATTATATGGTTCTGAGGATAGAACCCAGGGCCTCGTACATGCTAGGCGTGAGCTCTACCACTGAGCCACATTCCCATTCCCTCTTCCTCTCTTTTTGATAAGGTAATTCACTAGGGGCTGGGGTTGTGGCTTAGCAGTAGAGTGCCTGCCTATCATGTGCGTGGCGCTGGGTTCAATCTTCAGCACCACATAAAAATAAATGTATTGTGTCCAATTGCAACTGAAAACAAAATATTTTTTAAAAAAGGTAATTCACTAAATAAATTTTAAAATGTGATTTGTCTGACTTTGTAAGACTACATCTTGACTATAGACTTGAAAAATACGGTCACTATACCCAGTTATATTTTTACGAATAAAACATAATCATCGTAAGTATAATTATTCCTTTGATTAATTTTTTTTGCCTTTTCTTGGAAGAAAATATTCACACTTCTGCAGGATATGTTCTGGTAATTATAAATGAGCTTACATAATAAAGAATATTCTCATTTTTATATGTATATATTGTATCTGGATTTTTGACATACAAATTTATGTGCAATTTCCCAATTAAACACTGCTGACAGGGTTTTAATGCATCATTCTGAAATGGCTACCTTATGAAATTTTAAAAAGTCTTTAAAGAAAAATATACTTGGGCTGGGGATGTGGCTCAAGCGGTAGCGCGCTCGCCTGGCATGCGTGCGGCCCGGGTTCGATCCTCAGCACCACATAC